GACCACATCAGAGTACAAAGTGTTTATTGTTCATGATGCAGGGCAGCACTTATCTCACAGACATTATAAAAATTAAACAATACAAATCATCAACATTTCATGAAGTATGAATCAGTCTTTCAGCTGCTGACTCAGTTCACATTTAAACACTTGGAGGTCATTGTTCTTTCACATTCAGGGAATCCTTTTCGTCAGCCGGGGATAGAAACATCAAAACTGGATTCTAGGGTGCTGGGCGAACCCGAGGAGGCTACACGCAAACGTGTTCGCTTACAATAAGTGTGCATGGATTATCAATTTACAACCGTCCACACCTGAGGACGTTTAGACCGCCCTGTTGGTCATCTGAATTCTTGAGTATTCTTGTTGTAAGAAGGCTGACGACAACGACTATTTTTTTAACCACGATTAATCGATGCATTTCGACAGTTAATCTCGATCAATCGCTTTTTTAATTACATGTTTGAAATTCTGTTATTTTGCATTTAGTAGTAGTGATCATTTATTTCGGTCACAAGAAAAACATTTTGACCAAAAGGTGAAGGCTGAAGCTTTATCTTATTACACCTACCCTCGTTACAAATCACATTCTTTAAGACACGACTAGTTTGGTTACAAAAAACAAAACATATCAGAACAAAATTTGTTCCAAGAATTTCTTTCAAATCAAAACAAATGAAACAAACAAAAAACAAAACAGAAGTCAAACTCACAAAATAAAATCAAACCAACATGTTATATGTGTTCATCAGTTTGTGTTTTGAAATGTCTTATGATAAGTTTGCTTTACTTCCTGTTTGGATTTTTAAAAAAATGCTTTATTTTGAAAGAAATACAACTTCCTGTTACAACATGAAGTTAAGCTCAGAGACAGGAAGTGGTTAGGGATCACAAGCTAAAGTCAAACAGCCCAACGGTCACAAAGGTCAATGTTTGACATCATTAATCAGATGTTTTTAGCTTTAATGGACCAGGCTAACAGTTTCCATCTGCTTCCAGTCTTTGTGCTAAGCTAAGCTAACACGTCCTGAATCTGAAACATCTGAAGCAGAAGAAGAAGACGAAGAAGAGGGTTTCCTGAAATGGTCGACTGTTCCTTTAACCGTAGTGCAACACCAGTAACAAAAAAATGTTTAAACAACAAATATTTAGACAGTTTGCAGGTGATTGATCGCAATATTTTATACTTAAAAACAATAAATGACTCGATCTTTACGTGCAGCATCATACAGGTATCAATCAATCGATGTCTGGTTTTTACTACCATTTAAAAAAAAAGTGGAATAATTCTGATATCATGATGACAGGGGCGTGTCCAGAGGGTCGGCTTATTGGCCACCCCAAAATGATTGGATTACTTATGTTGTAATCCACGATTCAGGCTGTGTTCAGAGTGTTCAGAGTGTTCAGAGTGTTCAGCGTGTTCAGAGTGTTCAGAGTGCTCAGAGTGTTCAGAGTGTTCAGAGTGTTCAGAGTGTTCAGAGTGTTCAGAGTGTTCAGCGTGTTCAGAGTGTTCAGAGTGTTCAGAGTGTTCAGAGTGTTCAGCGTGTTCAGAGTGTTCAGAGTGTTCAGAGTGTTCAGAGTGTTCAGAGTGTTCAGCGTGTTCAGAGTGTTCAGAGTGTTCAGAGTGTTCAGCGTGTTCAGAGTGTTCAGAGCGTTCAGAGTGTTCAGAGTGTTCAGAGTGTTCATAGTGTTCAGAGTGCTCAGAGTGTTCAGAGTGCTCAGAGTGCTCAGAGTGTTCAGAGTGTTGTTCAGAGTGCTCAGAGTGCTCAGAGTGCTCAGAGTGCTCAGAGTGCTCAGAGTGCTCGTAGTGTTCGTAGTGTTCGGAGTGTTCGGAGTGCTCGGAGTGTTCGGAGTGCTCGGAGTGCTCGGAGTGTTCGGAGTGCTCGGAGTGCTCGGAGTGCTCGGAGTGTTCGGAGTGCTCGGAGTGCTCGGAGTGCTCGGAGTGCTCGGAGTGCTCGGAGTGTTCGGAGTGCTCGGAGTGCTCGGAGTGTTCGGAGTGCTCGGAGTGCTCGGAGTGCTCGGAGTGTTCGGAGTGCTCGGAGTGCTCGGAGTGTTCGGAGTGTTCGGAGTGCTCGGAGTGCTCGGAGTGTTCGGAGTGTTCGGAGTGCTCGGAGTGCTCGGAGTGCTCGGAGTGTTCGGAGTGTTCGGAGTGCTCGGAGTGCTCGGAGTGTTCGGAGTGTTCGGAGTGCTCGGAGTGCTCGGAGTGCTCGGAGTGTTCGGAGTGCAGATTTTAACATTAAAATACTTAAAAGTTGAGACGTTGGACGTACATGTTGTTTTAAGAAATAAGATAATAATAAGATTATGTTGCCATTATCTTGTGTTACTTATGAGATGATGAGATTAGCATAGACAGAACAAGTACAATTCTTCATTCATTCATTCTTGTGTGTGCACAGTAACTTCAGGACTCCCCTGCACAAGTCAGAGCCCCAGTTGCCCCAGTTGCCCCAGTTGCCCCCCCCTCCAGTCCAATAGTCTGGACAGTCCCCTGCAGGACGACCCTGCTGCAAAAGTAAAAGTGATGCAAAGTTGAGTTGCGTTTGGCTCAGTCGTGTTCTGCTTCTCTTCACAGTCGTCAGATTAACATCAGATCACACACACACACACACACACACACACACACACACACACACACACACACACACACACACACACACACACACACACACACACACACACACACACACACACACACACACACACACACACACACACACACACACACACACACACACACGTGTCTCCTGAACCCGGGGGGCTGCTGGTCTAGTTGCTGACCAACTGCTGACCAGCAACTCAAAGACTCTTAAAGGTCCACTCAGTGAGATGATAAAGGTATCTTACTCTCTGATCATTAAGGAAACATGCTATGTTGAAGTGCTGGCTTCTCTGACAACAATGCAGCAGCCAGTATGTCCTCCTTCTAACTTTAGATTCTGCTCCTGAATGCTCTGGATTTGTTTGGACCAGAGAAGGTAGACGCTTTTAAGACAACCCCCCCCACACGGCCATTTTGGACGCCCCTTGGTTTGTCAGATATGAGAGCAGTTATCAGGTCAACAGGTGTTGCAGTGATGGAAGCGGTCAAGAGAAGTGGTTCAGATAGAAGTGATTGTACCCGACCTAAAAAGCCTCTGCATGTTTCTAATAAGCTCCACGAGCAGAAACGTGCTCAAACTAGGATCAATATTGGAGATGCTTTTGAAAAATGGAGAGAGGTTAGAACACAGAAAGGTTTACAGACCCATGCAGAGCTGGATAAACACTGAAGCTTCAGAGTCCACCACATGGTGACCTGAGTGAGCATCCACTCTAGAGAGGAGGGGGGGAGACAGCTCTCTATGATGTTTAGAATTCAGACTGCAGTACTCACTTTAAACACTAGGGGGCAGAGTTACATACTGCTCCTTTAAGCTCTGCGTATGATTCCAGCTTGATTTTTGAGTCTTCGTCTAATTGTATATATTGATTTAGTATTTTAAAGTGTAAAGCACTTTGTAACTTACACATGAAGTGTACAGTCGTCCTGCTCAGACTGCTCTCAGTCTGTAGCGGAAGCTGACATCCTGAGCGGGCAGCAGGATGCCCAGCCCGGCCCTGCTAGAGTCCAGCGTGGCTCGGCTCTGCCCCGCCTCCAGCTGCAGGTCGAAGTAGAGCAGCATCATACACAGGAACTGCTTGATCTCGTTGATGGCGAAGTATCGCCCGGGACACATGGAGGAGCCGGAGCCGAACGGCATCAGGTAATACTTGAGCTTCTGACCATCCTTGAAGAAGTCCGTCTTCTCTCTGCCGTCCTGGATGTAACGGTTGAGTCGGAACGTCTGACGGTTCAAAAAACAGATCGTAAAAACAACTGTTAGACGTTCAGCTCACGATGATCCACATGGTTTTAAAATAACACAATCTCTGTTCCTTTAATGATCGCAAGTATCAAAGTTCGCAAAATGTAAATGTTAACAAGTTCACCCGGCTTGTTAAAGGACGGCAGTCTTTCATTGGTCCCGCAGGCCGCGCCCCCAGCCGTACTATGAGGCCCGGGCGGTGATTAATTACAGGTTTCGATTTGAGGATTTTTGGAACATGTGAAACTGGCAGAGCATCCAATCAGGTTTCAGAAGTTTGTCATCAAGGTTGTCGCCCCCTGAAGGTCGATCATTACTCAAAGGTCGTTTGTTAGTGAGTGCTCAAATATTGACTTAAATCTTTTTCAACATCAAAGAGTGAATTAGTTATTGTGAGGTAAAACAGTGGACAAAATACGTAATGAAAACGATCAAGATTTGTTAAGAATTCTGAAACAAATAACAAGAAATTGGCTTAAAAAAAACCATGTCCCTTGATTTATAAATGTAGAGAAACAATTCAACAAATAGATCAGCTGGAAAGTTTAACTTTAGTTGAACTCAAAACTATCTGAAAAGAGATGGTCTAAGTGGTCAACATATTATGGTAGGAAGGAAATGAACTGAAACTGAGTTATCATGACAACAGGACTGACAGTCACTTAGGGGAGCACCACCTAGGGTTTGTTTTTTGTTTTCTTTCTCTTCCTTCTCCTTTGACTCTTCGCTTTCTTTTAATTTTATTTTATTCTTTCATTTTATATAACTCATTTGTTTGTTTGTCTTCCTAAAGATGTTAAATATCGTAGAGAAAGGGAAGAAAACCTCGATGGAGGGAAACATTTATGAATTTATGAAACACAGATCCAAGCTACTTCAAACAAACTGTAAAACATGTTTCTGTAGTGTAAGTGTTATTTTTAGTATTTCCACATGACGGGGGGACACGACCTTTTTGACACCACAATGTGAAATGTGAAATATTGTCATCCTTATGTTGAATATGTGTACTGTATGTTAAGACATGATGACAATAAAAAGTAATAAGAAAAAGAGTGAATGAGTGGAAGAGGTTTTAATTGGAGGTGATGACGGTTAATTATTGATCACCGATAAACGATCAGTCAGAGGAGGTACCTGTGGCTCCTCGTAGATCTCCGGGTCCATATGCATACTCTGAGGGTAGAGGGCGATGATGTCACCTTTCCTGACGGCCACCGAGCGCTCTGCGTTCAGCCGCAGACTGAAGTCCTCCTGAACCACTCGGATGTTCATGGAGGCCGAGGACAGGCGGAGACTCTCGTTGATGGCGCTCTCTGTGGACGAAGATCAGCGTCTGTCATCATGGAGCTTTTTAAAAACAGGAAGTCAGTCCTTTCACACCAACGTGTTCACAGATTAGACCGTCATACCCAGAAACAGAAGCTTGTCCAGCTGCTCTCTGCTCAGCGTCACGTCTCTGTCGCTGCTGAACTCCACCTCGCTGAGCTTCAGGACGTCATGGATCTCCTGACGGACGACCTCCAGGGCCTCGGGGTGACTCACCAGGTAGTACATGGACCAGAAGCAGGCGGGGATGGTGTTCCCCACCGACGCCCAGAGAATGGCGAAGTGATGAGCTGGAGGTGAGGAGAGAAGAAGCAAAGAGGGAGCTCTGAGGAAACCTTCCAACATTTATTGAAGACGATAATTAGGCTGAAAGGAAGCTGAGATAACATCGTCATGAAAACACTTTATGATTCATCAGGACTGACTACAAGATGACGATCAAACTACTTTTAAAATGCTCTGAATGAAGGATTGACCATTTCCACCCGTCCAGTATTTGCATCTATTTAAATAAAGTACAAGTTTAAGGAGCTTTATTCCAATGAATTCTGGCGAGGGTAAATTATCAGTGTGATTGCTTTAGACAGTAAACGTGATCGTATTAATATTTGAAGATCCTCGGCTGAAAGTAAATCACTTTCATTATTTATTATCCAACACCTCCCCCCACTCACCTGAACCTCCCTCTACTTAACCTGATCCTCCCCCACATCCCAACTTGACCTCACCTACAGTTCACCTAAACCTCCGCCTCATCTAATCCAAACCTCACCCATAACTCCCCCATATTACACTTACAACCCCCAGACGTCACATACCCCTCCCCCACTTCACACCTAAAGCTCCCTGCATCTCCCCCATATAACACTTACAACCCCCCAGACGTCACATACCCCTCCCCCACTTCACACCTAAAGCTCCCTGCATCTCCCCCATATTACACTTACAACCCCCCAGCTGGACTCTGACAGATTGGAACACTTAAGAAGAACATGGACATAAATTGAGAGTTCTAAATAGAAATCTCAGAGGGCTCATAGACCTCTTGCTCAAGAATCTAACTTTGTTTTAGTTTGACTCCAAATGAAAAGCAGACAGTGAATCACTGAGGGATTATATTAATGTCGGGAAGGCAGACCGCCCCCGTGTTTACTGGAATTACACAACAAGTCCTCACAAACATCGGCTCTGTCTCTGAGGAACTGAAGAGATCAACTCAATGTGATCCTTTGTTCACTGGACTCTGCTGTTTATCATCTGTTATCCTCACTGTCGTTTATTTTACAATCTCAAAAATGAAATGTTTGTTTAAAGTAACTGCAGGCTGAACGCTACACTTACTCAAAGATAGTTTGTGAGGGGAAGATGCTCCACTCTGTAACAGCAATCAGAGAGTTTAACAAATCCAACAGAGTGAGAGTCCCTCTGAGCTCGATGTAAAATCAGTTTTGGAAGGATGATGAATGATTAATGGATGGATTGATGGGTAAATCAATTCCTCTTGTGTGATAATAAAGAATCTAAATCTGGATTGGATGGACAAAATGCAAGGGAAGATGATGATGGATAGATGACTCTAAAGGCCCTGACACACCAAGCAGACGACAAAGAACTAGTGGCGACAAAGGCCGCCTGTGGCCAAAAAGTTGGTGGGGTAGCGACGGTGTTGGACACACCGTAAAAAAGTAGGGCGATGACCGCTCACCGACGGCCAACGATCTCCTTGGGGTGTCAGGGCCTTAAGATGGACGGACAGATGGATGTTGGAAGGATGGTTGGATGGATAATGGACAATGGATAAATGGACGGATGAATTGATGGATGGATTGAAGAAAAAGAAAGAGTGATTGAAAGATTGTCGGATGGATGAATGGATTGGTAAATGATAGGTGGATGAATGGATTGGTAAATGAGGGATGGATGAATGGATTGGTAAATGAGGGATGGATGAATGGATTGGTAAATGATGGATGAATGGATTGGTAAATGATGGATGGATGAATGGATTGGTAAATGAGGATGGATGAATGGATTGGTAAATGATGGATGGATGAATGGATTGGTAAATGAGGGATGGATGGATTGGTAAATGATGGATGGATGAATGGATTGGTAAATGATGGATGGATGAATGGATTGGTAAATGATGGATGGATGAATGGATTGGTAAATGATGGATGGATGAATGGATTGGTAAATGATGGATGGATGGATTGGTAAATGAGGGATGGATGGATTGGTAAATGAGGGATGGATGAATGGATTGGTAAATGATAGGTGGATGAATGGATTGGTTAATGATGGATGGATGAATGGATTGGTAAATGATGGATGATGGATGAATGGATTGGTAAATGATGGATGGATGAATGGATTGGTAAATGATGGATGGATGAATGGATTGGTAAATGATGGATGGATGGATTGGTAAATGAGGGATGGATGGATTGGTAAATGAGGGATGGATGAATGGATTGGTAATGATGGATGGATGAATGGATTGGTAAATGATGGATGGATGAATGGATTGGTAAATGAGGGATGGATGAATGGATTGGTAATGATGGATGGATGAATGGATTGGTAAATGATGGATGGATGGATGAATGGATTGGTAAATGAGGGATGGATGAATGGATTGGTAAATGATGGATGGATGAATGGATTGGTAAATGATGGATGGATGGATGAATGGATTGGTAAATGAGGATGGATGAATGGATTGGTAAATGATGGATGGATGAATGGATGGTAAATGAGGATGGATGAATGGATTGGTTAATGATGGATGGATGAATGGATTGGTAAATGAGGATGGATGAATGGATTGGTAAATGAGGGATGGATGAATGGATTGGTAAATGAGGGATGGATGAATGGATTGGTTAATGATGGATGGATGAATGGATTGGTAAATGAGGGATGGATGGATGGATTGGTAAATGAGGGATGGATGAATGGATTGGTAAATGATGGATGGATGAATGGATTGGTAAATGAGGGATGGATGAATGGATTGGTAAATGATGGATGGATGGATTGGTAAATGATGGATGGATGAATGGATTGGTAAATGATGGATGGATGAATGGATTGGTAAATGAGGGATGGATGAATGGATTGGTTAATGATGGATGGATGAATGGATTGGTAAATGATGGATGGATGAATGGATTGGTAAATGATGGATGGATGAATGGATTGGTTAATGATGGATGGATGAATGGATTGGTAAATGAGGGATGGATGAATGGATTGGTAAATGATGGATGGATGAATGGATTGGTAAATGATGGATGGATGAATGGATTGGTAAATGAGGGATGGATGAATGGATTGGTAAATGAGGGATGGATGAATGGATTGGTAAATGAGGGATGGATGAATGGATTGGTAATGATGGATGGATGAATGGATTGGTAAATGAGGGATGGATGAATGGATTGGTAAATGATAGGTGGATGAATGGATTGGTAAATGAGGGATGGATGAATGGATTGGTAAATGATGGATGGATGAATGGATTGGTAAATGATGGATGAATGGATTGGTAATGATGGATGGATGAATGGATTGGTAAATGATGGATGGATGAATGGATTGGTAAATGATGGATGGATGGATTGGTAAATGAGGGATGGATGAATGGATTGGTAAATGATAGGTGGATGAATGGATTGGTAAATGAGGATGGATGAATGGATTGGTAAATGATGGATGGATGAATGGATTGGTAAATGAGGATGGATGAATGGATTGGTAATGATGGATGGATGAATGGATTGGTAAATGATGGATGGATGAATGGATTGGTAAATGATGGATGGATGAATGGATTGGTAAATGAGGATGGATGGATTGGTAAATGAGGATGGATGAATGGATTGGTAAATGATGGATGGATGAATGGATTGGTAATGATGGATGGATGAATGGATTGGTAAATGATGGATGGATGAATGGATTGGTAAATGAGGATGGATGAATGGATTGGTTAATGATGGATGGATGAATGGATTGGTAAATGATGGATGGATGGATGAATGGATTGGTAAATGAGGGATGGATGAATGGATTGGTAAATGATGGATGGATGAATGGATTGGTAAATGATGGATGGATGGATTGGTAAATGAGGGATGGATGAATGGATTGGTAAATGATGGATGGATGAATGGATGGTAAATGAGGGATGGATGAATGGATTGGTAATGATGGATGGATGAATGGATTGGTAAATGAGGGATGGATGAATGGATTGGTAATGATGGATGGATGAATGGATTGGTAAATGATGGATGGATGAATGGATTGGTAAATGAGGATGGATGAATGGATTGGTAAATGATGGATGGATGGATTGGTAAATGATGGATGGATGAATGGATTGGTAAATGAGGGATGGATGAATGGATTGGTAATGATGGATGGATGAATGGATTGGTAAATGAGGGATGGATGATGGATTGGTAAATGATGGATGGATGAATGGATTGGTAAATGATGGATGGATGAATGGATTGGTAAATGAGGGATGGATGAATGGATTGGTAAATGATGGATGGATGGATTGGTAAATGAGGGATGGATGAATGGATTGGTAAATGATGGGTGGATGAATGGATTGGTTAATGATGGATGGATGAATGGATTGGTAAATGATGGATGGATGAATGGATTGGTAAATGATGGATGGATGGATTGGTAAATGAGGGATGGATGGATTGGTAAATGAGGGATGGATGAATGGATTGGTAAATGATATGGATGAATGGATTGGTTAATGATGGATGGATGAATGGATTGGTAAATGATGGATGGATGAATGGATTGGTAAATGATGGATGGATGAATGGATTGGTAAATGATGGATGGATGAATGGATTGGTAAATGATGGATGGATGGATGGTAAATGAGGGATGGATGGATTGGTAAATGAGGGATGGATGAATGGATTGGTTAATGATGGATGGATGAATGGATTGGTAAATGATGGATGATGAATGGATTGGTAAATGAGGGATGGATGAATGGATTGGTGAATGATGGATGGATGGATGGATTGGTAAATGATGGATGGATGGATGGATTGGTAAATGATGGATGGATGAATGGATTGGTAAATGATGGATGGATGAATGGATTGGTAAATGAGGGATGGATGAATGGATTGGTAAATGATGGATGGATGAATGGATTGGTAAATGAGGGATGGATGAATGGATTGGTTAATGATGGATGGATGAATGGATTGGTAAATGAGGGATGGATGGAATGGATTGGTAAATGAGGGATGGATGAATGGATTGGTAAATGATGGATGGATGAATGGATTGGTAAATGAGGGATGGATGAATGGATTGGTAAATGATGGATGGATGGATTGGTAAATGAGGGATGGATGAATGGATTGGTAAATGATGGATGGATGAATGGATTGGTAAATGAGGGATGGATGAATGGATTGGTAAATGAGGGATGGATGAATGGATTGGTAAATGATGGATGGATGGATTGGTAAATGAGGATGGATGAATGGATTGGTAAATGATGGATGGATGAATGGATTGGTAAATGAGGGATGGATGAATGGATTGGTTAATGATGGATGGATGAATGGATTGGTAAATGAGGGATGGATGAATGGATTGGTAAATGAGGGATGGATGAATGGATTGGTTAATGATGGATGGATGAATGGATTGGTAAATGAGGGATGGATGGATGGATTGGTAAATGATGGATGGATGAATGGA